AATATCATATCGTGAGGTTTTTGTTGTTGGAAAAAGAATTGGAACAATACCTATCACACAATTGACAACTAAAAAAACCGTATTGTAATACTACCATTACAGAGATCGTATGCTAAGAGCTGATTTTCCAAATATTTCTTTAGTTAGTATAGCTTCATGTCCTCATATTTTTTTACTGCACAATGTGCTTAAATAGGTGGTTGTCTCAAAATATATTTACCATGTTTCCTTTACAAGGGAAAGAAAATTTGGAAAAAAGCAGGAATTACTCACACTAATACTGACAAGCATACTTATTATATAGAAATGATTTTAAATTTTTAGTTTTATCCAATTTCAAATTATAATAGCATTAAATATAGTTTATATAAAATAAAAATTATTAAATCTCAAAATTATATATATATTTATGATAAATTACAAGAATCTGTTTAAGACACAAGATTGTTAACTTAGAAAAAAAAAAGAAGAAAAAGAAAAGATTTAAACAAACACTGGAACCGTTTAAGTATAAATTTGGTTTTAAAAAGAAAAATTTTTTCAAGAATGCTAGAGAAGGTATTTAATATAAGTCAAAATAATTTTGAAGATATTATTATGAAAGATAAAACTAAAGATTCAAAAACTAGAAAAGAAAATGTAGATTTTCTTAGCGATCAGAAAAGTTAAAAAAACGTGAGGTCAGGTAAAATTCCGTAAAATAATTGTAAAAAACAAAACAAATTAAGAAATGAAAAAAATCAAAAAAAAAAAGAGTCCACAAGAAAACAGAAAGAGTTGGTTAGAGAGAAATTCGAAAACACAATAGAAATTTTAAATACTTTAGATAATGACCAAGATGATTAGTATCTGCAGCCTTTTACAAAAATTATAAAATCTAATGCTGTACCTCCTATTGTTCCAAAAGTTATAGGAAAAGATTTGGCTCCAACAGCATCACAATATGGAATAAGTTCTACTGGACTGCATGCAACTCTCGCTTCTCTTATAAATAATAATTCTGGAACAACAGATGATTTTTATATTTCTAAAGAAAGTATTTTAAGATAAAAAATTAAGTGTAAGTAAAACTGCTTGTAAAATTAAAAATAGCTCTGGCACTAGACTACTACGAAGGTCACTTGCAACAATGATAACGATAAGAAAAATAATGTTAAATGTACCTTGGGAAATGTTAAAACAAAACATTTATTTGCCTTGAAAAAAAAAAATATATATATATATATATATATATATATATATATTAGAAAACTCTATAAAAACTAGAAATGAAAGAACTTGGTAAAGAAAAATATGAAAGAGTAGCTGTACTAATCAGTTCACCAGATCTTTTTAACTTTTCTATTGTCAAATTTGACAATGGTATGAAAAGAAGACTTCGAAGCTTTAGTTATTAGCGTACTAAAATTGGAAGCGGAACTCCAAATAAAAGATAAAGAAATAAATGACCTCAAAATAGTAGTAAATCATATGAAGAATCAATCAAAACTCGTATCAAACTCAAACGATGTATCAAATACGATGAATCATGTATCAAAAACGATGTATCATGGTCCAATGTAGTAAAAGGGAGAAAAAAAATACATCTGTGCAACTGGATTTATTAAATCTAGTGATTAAAGAATCTCATGAATGTCCCGACCTGAAATCCTTTGAATTTCGCATACTGGATATATTTATAAAAATAATGTACTTTAAACAAAATACTCTCTAAAGGTTTTTTTTAGAGGAGATTTAATATTAACTTAAGTCAAACCATAAGTAATTATCGCCAGGTTGTACATTTTTTGCAGGTTAATTATTTGGGACAAACTGGAGTTAAAGACAAAGGTGATTGTATATGTTATCTACTAAGATCAGTTTTTAAAAATGGTTAAGCTTTAAAAAGAGGCTGCACAGGAAGAGGACAAAAAGTCAGAATAGAAAAAATGATATTAGCATATGTTGCTATTGGTAAGTAGTTAAGAAAATCTATTTTTTTCAATTTCAATTGTGCATAACACAATCACTTTCAATTCATTATGTTACAACAACAACAAACTATTATATATTATAAACTAAATAACTATTATTACTATTATTATTATTATTATTATTAATATTATTAGCATTACTAGCTGTCATGACCCGTAAAATACGGGTCTTTAGGATATTGATACACACTTTATCCGCGTGGTTACAGTTCATAAGAACTATTATCCGGTTTATAACGCAAGAAAGTCTCAATCAAATGAAAACATCTAAATGATAACTTTTAATGTCCTAGATACGAAGATTAAACTTATTGATTGCGTAAACACTAACTTAAATATAAATGGCATTTGCGAAACACTTCTTGCAAATGCCATTTATGTTTAAGTATATGACCTCAAAATAGTAGTAAATCATATGAAGAATCAATCAAAAATCGTATCAAACTTAAACGATGTATCATATACGATGTATCATGTATCAAAAACGATGTATCATGGTCCAATGTAGTAAAAGGGAGAAGAAAAATACATCTGTGCAACTGGATTTATTAAATCTAGTGGTTAAAGAATCTCATAACAGAGAAATAAGGCAAAAAAATTTAGTAGTTTTTGGATTTAGAACCTCTACAAATAAGGACGAAAGCGTGGCGAAAGAAGATGACAAACAAGAGTTACAAAATTTATTTAAACAAATTAATGTTAAAGTTAAGAAAGATTTAAGATGAAAGCTCTTAGAGACGAACGTGCTAAATTAAATGAAGCTAACCAAGACCTAAAACACTATTATGGAATTAGAAATGAACGTGTTGTAAAACTGTTAAAAAAGTAGCTATATGAATCAACACAACCATATCAACAGATATACATCTCTAAAAAAGGTATTATATTAAAATTTAAATAATATAGTAAAGAATCCTAATGATAGACATTTATTAAATAGTAACAAAAGAATAATAGTGTACTATACAAATTCAACATCTTTAAACAATAAAAAAAATGATTTTAGAGCTTTAATTGATATTGAGAAGCCAGATGTTTTTGCTTTTACTAAAACATGGTATACACCTTTATCAGATGTTAAGGGTTCCATAAAATCATATAAAATCAGTAATATTGAACTTAAATCCAATCTTATGGAGCTAATATGGACATGGATTGAGTATGGTCAAGAAAAAGTTTTATTAGGTTGCATATATCGTCCTCCTGACTCATCCTGTGTCACCAATAAAATTATTATAAATTCTATTATAGCAGCTAAAAGAGCACAAGATAAAAAACAATACACTAGTATATTAATAACAGGTGACTTTAACTGCAAAACTTTAAAGTGGAAAGACAGTGTTGAAGAATCACATAGCCAAAAAGCTGAAGATTTTGTAGCATGTTTAAATGACTGTTTTTTCGAACAATGTGTTACTGAAGCAACATTTCAATGCAACGAAAACGAATTAAGAAATGTACTTGATTTAGTAATTGTAAATGATAGTAACCGTATTTTTGGTTTATCCCATTTGCCACCACTTGGTTTGAGTAGTAAAGGACATTTTCTAAAATGGTTTTATAAAATGAATGATCGAATAGATGACTTCTCTTCATCAACTAAGAAATTGACATATCGTAGAGGAAACTATGAAAAAATTAATGTTTATATAAAAAGCAATAATTAAGCGGACGAATTTCAAAACAAATGCATTGACAAATGTTATGATAAATTTTTATATCATTTTAATCAATCATTCAAAAATTATATACTTATTGTAAAACTAAAAAATAAAGCAAGTGAAGTTTGGATGTCAAATAGCTTGAGAAAAGAAATCAAGTACAAAAATAATTACTGGACAACAAATAAAAAAATTAACTGGTCTATAGCTAGCTCAAAAGAAAAATATAATAAAATGAAAAGAAACATTTTAAAACAAATAAATAACTCTGTTAAAAAATACGAAAGAAATTCGGTAAATCAGGTAAAAAATGAACCTAAATTACTACATTCATATATTAGAAAAAAGCAGAAAGTAAAAAATCATATAAAAGCACTTAATGATAATATTGGTTCAACAATGTATGAAAAACATAGTATTGTCGATGTTTTTAACAAGTATTTTCATTCTGTCTACATAAAAGAAGAAAATATAAATGATTGTAGTTTTGAAGTACAAACAAATAGTAGGTTTCGAAAAATATTCGTTGATCAAGCACTTGTGAAATCATATTTGTCAAAATTACACATTAACAAGTCTAGTGGGTATGACGAAGTAAATCCTTATGTGTTAAAAGTCTTCTCTGAGAGTTTTTCAATACCACTTTCAATTATCTATCAACAAAGTCTAACAAATAGTGATATTCCTAATCTCTGGAAAATGGCAAATGTGAGTCCCATATTTAAAAATGGAAGTAAATTGCAAGCAATAAATTATCGACCAGTAACTTTGACATCCATACCTTGCAAAGTACTAGAAAAAATTATAAGTGATAACTTATAATTTAGAAAAACTATTTAGAATCAAATAATCTTTTCTGTAAACAACAACATGGTTTCTTAAAGGTAAAAATTGTATAACAAACTTATTAGAATCCTTAGATTTTTTAACATACCAACTAATGATAGGCAATTCAATAGACATTTTATATACTGATTTTCAAAAAGCATTTGATAGAGTGCCTCATAAGAGATTAATATCAAAATTATGTGGTTATGGAATAGAAAAAGAAATGCTAAATTGGATAGAAACATATTTATCAAATTGAAAACAACGCGTTATAATTGGTGATACAAAATCAGATTGGTTAGAGGTGCTAAGTGGTGTTCCACAGGGTTCTGTGCTTGGACCATTATTGTTCTTGTTATATATTAATGATTTACCACGTAAAACTTAAAATAAATGCGAACTTTATGCAGATGATAACAAAATTATAGCTGTAGTTAACAACCAGGTAGACTAAAAAAGCTTGCAAGACGATATTAATAATCTAACTGAATGGTCCGACAAATGGATGATAAATTTCAACATCAAAAAATGTAAAATCATGCATTTTGGAGAGCATAATAAGAATTTTGAATACTTTATAAAAGATTCAAAATTAGATTCAACAACTAATGAAAAAGACATTGGGTTGTTAATTTCAAATACTATGAAGTGGAATCAACATGTATATATGGTTGTAAATAAAGCAAATAGTCGATTAGGTCTACTGAGCAAATCATTTACTTACAAAGACAAAAACACAATGAAGATTTTGTATTGCACTTTTGTAAGACCTATTCTTGAATATGCATCACCAATATGGAACCCTTATAATACAAATGACATACATAAATTAGAAATTGTTCAACAACGAGCAACAAAGTTGATTCCAGAGTTAAGACACCTACCCTATGAAGAAAGGTTAAAAAAACTCCAACTGAGTTCTTTAAAAATCAGGAGATTAAGATATGATTTAATTCAATATTATAAAATGTTTCATAATTTGGACAAAGTGTGTTGGTATCAACAACCAAAAATAGCAATTTCAATTTCAGCAAATGGCCCAGCTTCAAACATTAGAGGAGATAAAGCACGCGTAGATATTGAGCTGATAAAAAGAAACAGACCAAGGGAAAATTTTTTTACAAAATAAAGTTGCAAAATGGTGGAATAAACTACCAGAAGAAATCATCTCCGCAAAAAGTGTAAATATCTTCAAAGACAAGCTTAATAAACATATGGTTATTATGAAACTCTGATCTCTATGACTATTATGAAACTGTTAATAGCAATGGCTCATAATAGATTTAACATGGCGTTAAATCTCAAGGAGCATAAATAAATAAATAAATAATTGGAAATTGATTCTTGAAAAGAACATAAACTATGATAACTTTAAAAAATTTGACTAAAAAAAAAAATTATCTTTTTTGGAAAAGCAGGTTTGTTTAATTGTCCTAATTATATTAATGTGTTTGACTAATAGTTTCAATAATAAGGTTGTTTTTTGTTTAATTTAGGCTTCTGAATCATTAACATTCTTTCAAATTTGGCTTGATAATATGTTTCTAAGAAATGACTGCAAGTATTTTTTACATTTAGCAGTAGTCTTTAGTTAGGTGGTAAAGTAAAAAAATTTTGCTTTAGATTTTCAATGGCTTGGCATCATTGCAGATTTATGGTACAGGAAGTTTATTTTTTTAACATATGACCTTCTTCAGCCACAATTCAGTAGCTTATGTCCTAATGTGTTATCATGGTAAGAGGGAAAGCTGATTCATTAAATTGCATCATTTACAGCACTATTTTATGTGGCATGTTTTGGATTTAAAAGCTATTAATGAAAAATACAATACTCTGAATTCTATTTTAAACCAGCAGAAACCGTACTGAATTTATAGCATTTAAATCAAAGATTTGTGGTTACGTATCATCCTAATAAATGTTTACCTGGAGATCCGCTACATGAAATAGCTCTTAAATTAGATCAAACAAAAAAGCCTACTAGTTATAAAACAGAAATACTGAGTGTCGAACTTTTTAATAAAAACAAAAAAACAAAAAAACAAAAAAAATTTAAGATTTGATTGGTCCTAAAAGCTGGTTTTTCTTTGATATTTTAAAAATGACATTACAAGAGACATAATGACTAAAAGCCAATTAATCATCTGGGAAACATTTTTGATTATATTAGATTTAAAAATTATGTCGCAGGCCTTCTTGTTGTAAATGACAATGCAGAACTTGGTCAAGACTTTATTGAAACTTTCAGAAACGAAGAAGATAGCCAAGCTAATTTACTAGTTGTTGCTGATCATCGGCTAAAATTGCAGTCAACAGAAAAAAAATCTTGGTTGAATACTTTAAAGTATCTTTTTTTTAAAAATAAATACAAAAATAAAAACAATTTTTATTTGAAATATGTAGCAAAAAAATTTATAATCTACACCACCCATGTCCGCCTAAATATTCACATCATGTATTTAAATGGCCATATCCATCATCTTTTGCAGTAAAACAAAACATAATCTAAAAATTAGATATATCACGCTACAAAAATAACACTTAAGATTTCTTTGAAATATCTTTAAGTGACCCTGTCCCCCTCATTGTTTAGAAAAACTTAGTTCTAATAACAAAATATAAATTTTAATTTTGATTTAAAAAACATATTTAAATTTATAAAAACTCAAGTTAATTCTTCGGTTTAACTAAACTAACAAATTCATTAAATATGTTGTTAAATATTGTTTAACATTCAAATTTTGCTTATTCTTAAAAAAAATTAGCTCATTTATATCGCATTTGTTTTTTCGGTTTTTCGTCCTAAACAACGTTTTTTTACTCAATAATAATTTTTAAACAAACTGTTGCATAAAAATTGCACACAAAGTAATTTAAACTAATTTTTTTAAATGCAAGTTAAATCGCAGCGACCATTTATTAAGAAATAATCGCTTGTATTTGGTCCTTTACTTTGATTCTTTGACGTATGCCGCAGCATCCATAGTATAGATTGCAACGTGCCGCAAACTATATTGTTATTTTTTTTTTGTTTGCCTGCTTATCAAAATTAATGGGTACTTTTTTATACTTGATTTTAAAAAATGGGTTTTATATATGGTTTTATATATGGTTTTACTATATGGTTTTATTATATATGGTTTTATATATGGACCTTGCATTAAAATAATTTATCTTTCTGTTAAATTATGTGCACACAATCTAACTTCTTAGATCTGATTTGCATAAAAAACATTAACCATTTTCTGTTACTGATGATGTATTATCACAGGCAGGGCACAAACCATTGTTATCTAATTTATTTATAATTGACATTCTTTAGCTTTATATATATATATATATATATATATATATATATATATATATATATATATATATATATATATATATATATATATATAGATATAGATATAGATATATATATATATATATATATATATATATATATATATATATATATATATATATATATATATATATATATATATATATATATATATATATATATATATATGAAAAAAAACACATTTAAACTTTTTGCAGTATTTGTGTTAATAAGTTTTAGGTAATAATATCTATAATAGATCACGAACCGCAATTTTTTTTTTTTTTTTATTAGAAATAAAATAAGTTTTAATAAGTTTTTGCTGATGTGGTTGCAGGTTTTTTTTAATTTCTGTCAAATAAACTTAAGAAACCTGTATTACTTTTGATGAGGGCAAATTAATTTTATTTAGCATTTGTTTGGTTTCTTTATATATATTTGTTTTGAAAAGTTTTTTTTTTAATTTTTCGAGTATGATTTTTTTAGTTATTAAGTTTTTTTATTTTATTGTTAACTTTAGATTACTAAAAAAAAAGAAATAATTAGTGTTGCTTTGATAAATATGTTTAATGAAAATGATGACATTGAAATGGATGATAGGCTAGATGTAGTTTTGTATTTACAAGATGATGTAAGTGCTATAAGACGTGTTAAAAATAATCGTAGACGAAATGAAAGAATTAGACTTAGGCGAGATGAAATTAATTATTTACAAAATGAAAAAAATAAGCTCGATCGAGATATTGTTAATCGTCGCTAAAATAAAAGAAATAGGCTCGATCGAGATAATGTTAATCGTCGCCAAATGAAAGAAATAGGCTCGATCGAGATAATATTAATCATTGCCAAAATGAAAGAAATTGGCTATATCGAGATAATGTTAATCGTCGCCAAAATGAAAGAAATAGGCCCAATCGCGATAATGTTAATCGTCGCCAAAATGAAAAAAGAGCTGTTGGACAAGGACGAATGTATTCTATAGCGAGAAGTAATGCTATTCCAGATTATAATTATTTAGGAGAAATGAATCAAATTTGTCAGCACTATGGTGCTAAGAAATTTCCAGATGAAACACATTTTCTATGTTGCCATAATGGTAAGGTAGCTTTGCCTCCACTTTCACCAATTACACAAGCATTACAGGATTTGTTTACAGGGAGTTGTGTAGATCGTAATGCTTATGCTAATTTTTTAAAACATATTCGAAATTATAATGCCTGCCTTTCTTTTGCTTCTTTTACAGCAAATGTAGTTCAACCTATGAATCATGGGCTTCCATGTTTTAAAATATGTGGCCAGATTTTTCATCGTGTAGGTAATCTTGGGCGAAAACAAGATATTCCACCAATATATTCTCAACTATATATTTATGATCCACTTGCTGCACTAAATTTTAGAATGCAACACCGTGGTAATGATCTTTGTTGACTTGATTTAATGCTTCAATTGCAAACTATAATTATCGAACAAAGTCCATTTGCTCTTGCATTTAAAAACATGGCTGAAGTAGAAGATGAAGAAATTCGTAAGGCGGCTATAGAAGGTCGCTCAGCTTCTGTTGTAAAAATGTCTTTATTTGAAGGCGGTGATAGACGTCGTTATAATCTACCTTCACATGATGAAGTTGCAGTTGTATTTGTTGGCGAAGATGGTGCTCCCCCAACTTCCAGGAAAGTTGTTATTTACCCAAGAGGTCATCCTTTAAAAATTGTATCAAGTATGTCAGCCAACTTGGATCCTATGGTTTATCCGCTATTTTTTCCAAGAGGTGATGCTGGTTGGCATAATCAAATTGGTGCATAACCCTGAGCGTGTCACACTGGTTAGAAATCATGTTACATTATCTCAGTTCTACAATTATAGACTTTCTGTTAGGCAATTTTTCTGTTCATTATTTTATGGCAAGAAACTATTTCAGCAATATGCGGTAGATGCATATGTAAAAATTGAAGGCCAGCGTCTTGCTTTTATCAGAAATAATCAAAATAAGCTGAGAAGCGAGCAGTACGATGCCTTACATGAACATATTAACAACTATGCCAATGATCGTAATATTAGACCACGACAAGTAGTAGTTTTGCCATCATCTTATGTAGGAAGTCCTAAAGCTTTAAAAGAAAACTCTGAAGATGCTATGGCAATTATTAAAAAGTATGGTAAACTAGATCTTTTTATAACTTTTACTTGCAACCCAAAATGGCGTAAAATAACAGAAAATTTATATCCGGGTCAGAATGCGAATGATAGACCTGATTTGGTTACTCGAGTATTTAAACTCAAGTTAAATAACCTCCTCAATGATATATTCAAACATGTTGTATTAGGCAAAGTTGTAACGCATGTTCAGGTTATTGAGTTTCAAAAGTGTGGTTTGCCGCATTCCCACATTTTACTTCATTTAGCAAATGATGATAAACTTGAATCATCACAGGATATCGATAATTTGATTTGTGCAGAAATTCCAGATCCGATAGTTAATTGTGAACTTTATGATATTATCAAAACTTGCATGATTCACGGCCCATGTGGGATACTGAATCCAAATTCTCCCTGCATGAATGATGGGGTGTGCAGCAAAAAACATCCTAATGATTTTAATGCCAACACAGTAGCTGTTCACAATGGTTATCCGCGCTATAGGCGTCGTGATAATGGGTTGGTTATCAATATTAAAGGCAACAATGTAGATAACAGTTGGGTGGTACCTTATAATCGTTGGTTATCAAAGAAATATCAAGCCCACATTAATGTTGAAGCTTGCATGTCTGTAAAGGCTGTTAAATATTTGTATAAATACATATACAAAGGGCATGATTGTGCGAATGTTTTGATAAATGAACAGGTTAATCACGATGAAATAAACACTTTCTTAGATTGTCGTTATGTTAGTGCACCTGAGGCGCTGTGGCGAATATTTGAGTATCCCATAAGTCATATGTCACACTCTATTATCCGTCTTAAGGTTCATCTTCCTGAGAATCAGATTGTGTATTTTAGAGAAGGAGAAGAAAAAGTGGCGTTAGATCGTGCTGCTCAACGTGATACACACATTACGGCCTGGTTTAAATTGAAATCTGAAAATGAAGGAGCCAATCGCTATTCATATGTTGACATTCCATATCACTTTGTATTTGATGATAAACATTGTAAATGGAAGGTTAGACAAAGAGGTGGAAATAAGGTGATAGTAAGAATGTATAAAGTTAGTCCAACAGGAGAATTATTTTTTCTTAGTTTGTTACTTTTACAAGCAAAAGGAGCAACATCTTGGGAGGATTTGCGTACTGTTAATGGAATAGTTATTGAAACCTTACGTGAAGCGTGTGTTTTTAATGGTTTGTTGCAAGATGACACTGAATGGCAGAATACTCTTTCTGAGGCAGTTTTAACGCGAATGCCCAAGCAAATCAGGCAGCTGTTTTTAATTATTTTAACCTTTTGTGAACCTGATGACCCTTTGCATCTTTGGAATTCATACAAAGCTTTTATGATGGAGGATTTCATTCATCGCCAAGTTCCATTTACATTAGCTGAACAAGCTACTCTTCTTCAAATCGAAAAGATTATTAATCAAAGTGGTAAAACGCTATCTGATTATAATTTGCCTGTCATTCTTTTTGGCGTTGACTTTAGGCAAATTTTGCCTGTTGTGAAAAGAGGGAGATTAGCTAAAGTTTTTAATAAATATATTTGTCATTTAATATTGTTATATATTGTTTTTATATGTGTTATATGAAGTCATATTTGTTTATAGTTGTATATAGGTTTACGTTATGTTGTTTCCATGTTTTCAAAGTGGTGTGACTTGGCAAAATGTTAAGCAAGATCGTTAACCTTGCCAGCCAAGCAATGTACTTATAGCAGAGGTGTGACTTGGCAGCATTTTGTGCCAGGCGGTGTTACTGCTTTAGAGCTAGGTTGTGTTGTCTAGCTTTTTTTAATTATTCTGGAAACACATAATGTCTGGTAGTGTTTTGTGTAATGTGTATAGAAGAGCATGCAAACTTAATCCTTAAATTTGAAATAATTGAATAACTAATATTGAATAATAAAGCAAATATACAAAATTAAAGTTTAGTAAAAGGATAAATATAGATAACTTAAAATTGGTTTTTTAGTTTTGCCTTTCATATTATTTTAAAATTGGTTTGTTATTTTCCACTGGATTTTAGAGTCAAGGGTGTAAATATTAGTTGTATAGGTGTGAATATGTGTTAATATTATGTGTTATTGTTATAATGTTGTAATGTATTGTTATAATGTATAATATTGTTATATTGTTGTGATGTTTTGTGTTGATAGACAGCTTGGCTTACCTTTCCGTTGGTGTCTATCGTTAAAAATGAATAATAGATAGTTTCATTATTGGAACTTGCTTCTTCTATTCATTTACTAAAAGCTAAGACAAAATTTTGCTAAAAATTCAATTTATGTCTTTATTTGATTTTTTTTTCTTTAGTATTGTTAATCCTTTAGTATTTCGAAAAAGATTTTATAGCTACTTTTTTCTATAAATGTTTATATTAATTGCAATATTTAAAGGTTACAAAAACAGGTAAATCGGTTTTCAGTGTTTATATGTGGTCATGTGGTGTATATATATATATATATATATATATATATATATATATATATATATATATATATATATATATATATATTTATATATATATATGATGTTATAATTCCGTTCCTTTTTTTTATATTAGATTTTATCATATGACGTATTAATACAATATTAAAAAAAAAAACTTGATTTCCTAAATTTGTAAAATTTTGTTCGTTTGTTAAAAAGATATAAAAACATTAATATGTATCTATTTTTTTCCGATGTTTTCCCTATCTTACGCTTTAATAATTTGTTGTTAAAAACACAGGGAAACTTGCAGTTTGTCAAATATCATTTTGATTAGTTTAGTCTGCAATTGCAATACTTTTGAGGAAACAAAAAAATCTTATATATGTAAATCGTAAATAAAAGGAATATTTCGTAAATGGCAGCAAATTACTTTACCGTTTCCAAAAAATTATTGAAAAAAAGAGGCCATATAGAAATATTCAATATAGAAATAATCAGAGTTTAAAAGGCTTAACATGACCGGGTCCGGTTAGCTTTGTTTGCAAACATGAGATTATGTCACGTTAACAACCTCAAAAGTCAATTTAAAACATGTTTAGTAGTAAAATGTGATATATACAAGTATAAATGTGATAGTATAGTAATACTCTTTTATGATTTTTAGCTAATAAAATGGATTTAAGACTAGATTAATTTTTGTTTCCTGTTAAACCGCAGTAAATAAAAATTAGAAGGCTATTTGGCCCCGACAGAATATGCGACAAGTTTGTATTTAACACATTTACACAAAAATGGAATTAAGACAAGTTAGCTCCTAAATTTATCTATATTTACAGATATGTTTATTGCACTTATTAGTAAATAAACTGATTAGTTGCGTAATGAGTTTAAATTTTAGCCATTTTTTAAAGTTGATAATCATAACGTACTTAATTAAACATGCGTGATGTACACCGAAGAAAAAACACCAACCAAAAGGTTGTAAATGTCTTCTATCAGTAGAGATATTTATGACTTTTTAGTTGCTGCTTTTTCTTCGGTTTTTTTTTTTGTAATTTTTTGTTTCGGTGTTTTTTTTTTATAATAATTTTGAAATTCTTTTTTTTAACATATTACGTTGCATATTAGATTTGTTTTAATCTTTTTTAATAAAATTTTTAAATGTTTTCTCACCAATTAAACCTGACTTCAAATTTAAAGCCCTCTTAAATACCCCTCCCTAAAATCTAAAGTCAAAAGTTGAATTGATTCATTATCCAATTATCATAATATAATGATGCTGCGTTCTTTTGTTAAAAACATTTATATGGTATGTTTCATTTATTGAACTCACTGCTTTTAAAATTTACCAAAACCCAAGGCAATATATTTAGCGATATAAATACAATTTATTTATCTCGATTCCATTCTTCATCTTTTATGTTTATAGTTTGGCTACTTGAAGCATTTTATGTTTTGATTTTATTATGAGTATTTTAAATTCGTTGTGATGTCTTTTAAATTAAACTAAAGTTTACTAAAAGCCAACATAAAAATTACGTTTTTGAACAACACCAAAAAGAACAGCTGCATCCCTACAGCAACTGCTGCAGTATCACAATAGGTTACCAAAAGCAGGTATACTGTTTTCCAGTTGTTTTTTTTTTTTTTTTCATATATATCTACTTATCTATATAATACTATAGTACGATTGTTTATATCTCATTCATTTTTTTTTCTTTATCTTAAAGTGTTAATAATTTTATTCTTTGAATAAGATTAGTTAAACAAGTTGGCTTTTTATTAAAGATATTGGTTTCAAAATTGAACACCATTGGCAAGATGCTTACAAAATTAGGTAGTTTTTAAAAATCTGTTTTCTATTTAATACACTTTTTTTTAAATATACTTTTTTAATATACTTTTCTATAACAATCCTACTAATATGGAATCACGTAGCTTTTCAAATACGTTTAATTGTCGTCCCTATCGGTAATAAATATTTTAAATTATTTGATATGGTTTTCTTTACAATAGGCTATGCTTGGCTCCTCGGTGCTGAAAATGGTGGCTTCAACTTTGTTTTTTTAGAAAAATGTGTTTTATATATGCTTCTGTTTTAAAATATTTTTGTTACATATTTAACTATATATCATGTAAATAAATTTCTTTTAAAGATAAGTAAACTTGATACTTGCTTTTTTACGGATTTTTAAAAAGTGAACAGCTTTAATAAAATTGATAAAATCATAAAAAGTCTTTTATGATTTTATCAACTTTATTAAAGCTGAATAATTACTTCAAAAATATTGAGTAAAATCCAATTGCTTTTATTATTAACCTGATCGATACAAAAATTAATGAAATAAAACTAATAATCTAACGCCAAGTTAAGGCAAAATGTATTTTATAAAATTAGTACAAATATGGATTGGATGTATGCTGAAATAAATATATTGATACACGTAAGCTATTATAGTAAATCCATATATTCCTTTGTTTTTTTATAAACAAGTTTCTGCTGGATTACTAATTAAAAAAAAGGTTGGTTTAAATAATAATCTTTGTCATAATATATAAGATCCGTATGCAGGGTAAGCCCTTTTTGGATTTGCGATATATTTTTCAACTTATAGTTTTTCCGGATATCCAACTTCTATGCCTACAAGTTTGGGTGTAATATTTTAGATGTTTTAAAAATATTTAAAAAATATATTATTAACATTTAAAAGGTTTAGGTGCAATAGTGACATATTTTTAAGCTCTTTACTCAGTAAAATGAAAAGTTTAAAAAATAAAGAAACGACTCAGCTTAAATCAAAATTAAGAGTAGAATATATTCCCAATATTTACCTAAACAATTTTACGGAATTTGAAAATTTGACATCGATTTTCTGTGCATATAATTTAAGTCATTTTATGGTTAACTTTATCTTTAATGAAGCTAAGAGTTCTCTTAAACTAAGAAGCCAAAAAAAATAAAAGTGAGCTCAACTAAAAAATGTATAAATAAATTTATAATTCATTAGAGAAAGTAAATAATGATCAAATTGTTAGTAATGATTTATTTACTACTAACCCGTATTACGGGTTGCTTACTGTATAAATAAATTTATATTTTATTAGAGAAAGTAAATAAATATCAAGCTGTTAGTAATGATTTATATACTAATAACCCGTATTACGGGTTGCTTACAGCTAGTAATGGTTTACTTGATTTTATATTAAATTTTTTCATAAATGGATTTTGTTAGAGATAACAGTTTATTTTAACAAAAAAGTTTGGTTTTCGTTAAAAACAAATAACCTTTATTCACATAGCTTTAATTGTGTTATTTCACTTGAAGTAAAATTTTAAAGTTTAATCAAAAAACTCATTTTTTTGTGTACATACACCATTATGTTAAAAATAGAGGTAAAATTTCTACGAACAACGGATTGTGATTTGTGAATAAGACTTTTTTATAGCAAGTTTTATAGCAGTTTACAGCAAACATTTAACAAAATTAAATAAAAATATATTTTTTTATAAATAAACCTATATAAATATTAGTTTATTAATACTATTAAATTCTGTAATAAATATAAATTAATTATGAGAAACGTTGTTAATTTAATTTTGTAAAAGCTTTTGCTAAGCACCATATTTATAATAAAAAAAGTTTTAAATTTAGTTTTAAAAAAAATATTTCTAGAAAAACGGATTTTGAACGGAAGAGTTAGCTTAACTTTAAAAAAACAAAAATAACAACAATAAAAACAAAATAACAATGTAGATAAATTTAACCAATAAATACTAAAACTTTTAATTGTTCTTTTATTTAATAGCGCAATATTGATAAAAAAGAATTATAACAAATCTATATATAACTTTATAAGTTATTATATAAATGTTTTCGGCCAAAATTTAACTAAATTTAAAAAGCTTTTTGTTATAACTTAATTAAATTATAAATTTATAACTTAATTAAATTATAAATTTATTTGAGATAAAGAAAAGTTTAAGTTTGTGAAATCGCTTGCTAAAAATGTTACTAAAGTTCTATTAGCGATAGCAACGAAAAAACATTAAATATGTTTTAACGAAAAGAAATCGTTTTTTTATTGTTTTGATGCGAAAACATTATGAGTATATTTTAATTAAACGAATAAACAATGAAAAAAAAGGTTATAAACTTATTTTGAATAAATTCGATGTAATAATAAAAAAAAATGAATGCAGTATTAAATTGAAGATAAATACAATATCAAAGAAAATACAT